TACCAATCTGGGGAAGTGAAAAAACAGACTGATAGAGCCAGGCAGGTACCCAGAAGTCACCTACTACAGGACAGACCCAACAAAGAAAGCAACAGAATGACACTGGCCTTTACTTACTGCCCCAGGCTACAACCTCCCAAGCACATCATCACGGATCTATAACCTGTCCTAGGTGATGATCCCTCACAGACTTTGGGTGGCAGGCCAATCCTCAGTTATAGACAGCCCCTCAACCTGAAACAAATAGCCCCAACTACACACCCCACAACAGAAACACGAATCCAGGAACCAACCCCTGCAACAAACCCCGTTACCAACTCTTCTGCATGTCTATCCTAGTTAGGGATGTTAAATATTGGTTAACTGAATAGCCAATTAACCTCATGAATTCTTATTGGTTAGTCAACTATTTGATAGTCCCTGGGCAGCCCCTGTCTTGGTGGGAGGGGTCTGAGCTCCTGGACCCGGCATGAGCTGGAACTGAGCTGGGCTGCCTGCCTGGCTCCTAAAACACTTTAAATGCAGAGCCACAGCGGGGGTAGGTCCGGGACCCATTGCAAGTCGGGACTGAGCTGGGCTGCTGGCCAGCCTGCTAAAAAATTTCCTGGCAAGGGGTGGAAGGCAAATGTGAGTAGTCTATAGCATTAACCCATAAGCTTTTGCTTATTGATTAATCAACTGTACTATTACATCCCTAACCCTAGTGACACCATTATAGGATGTAACCCATCAGGGGCTTGGTTCACTTATATATCTACTAATGCGATATATGCCATCATGTGCCTGCAATGCCCCTTTGCCATGTACACTGGCCAAACGAGACTGTTTTTATGCAAAAGAATAAATGGACACAAAACAGACACCAAGAATGGTAACATCCAAACACCAGTAGGAGAGCACTTCAATCTCCCTTGACACTCGTACTTGAGCAAACTTTAAAAACAGACTGCAGCGTGAAACCAGAGAGTTGGAATTCATATGCAAACTTCCTGCTAGTAAACAGGGTCTGAATAGAGACTATAAATAGCTGAGTCACTATAAAAAGTAACTGTTTCCCCTCCTGGTATTTTCACTTTCTGATCCACTGCTGGGAGTTGGCCACATCCCCCCTAATTGAAATGGCTTAGTTAACACTGGTTCTCTGCCTAGCAATGGAACACTTCCATCTCTGGATGTATACATATGCATATATCTCTGCCAAGCTGAAGTTTCCATTTCATGCATCTGATGAAGCATCCCATGAAAGGTGATGCCCAAATAAAATGATTAGTCTTTAAGGTGCCACAGGACTCCTTGTTACTTTTGCTGAAACAGATTAACATGACCACCCTTCTGAAACTATCCTTGATCTTTCTTTTAGAAACAAAGCAGTTACTATAACAATACCCACAGACAGCTCCTGAGAATACCATGAAAAAGCTGGCTAGGAAGTAACAGCAACTCTGCATTGAAAACACAGTAACTCACCTTTGTAACTGTTGCTCTTTGAGATGTGTTGCTCATAAGTGTGTGCATCACGCACATGAGCTGCCAGAAAGTTTTTGCTTAGCTGCTACCCATTGGGTCAGCGGTAGAGCCCCCTGGAGTGGCACCAGGACTACGCCCTATATATGACCCTGCCGACCCAACTGCCCCATAGTTCCTTTTTGCCAGCTGCTCTGAGAATGGGGAAGGAGGGCAGATATGGAATAGATATCAGCAACACATCTTGAAGAAGAACAGTTACAAAGCTGAATAACCGATTTTTCCTTCTTCAAGTGCTTGATCGTATCTATTCCAATGAGGTGATTCACAGGCCTTACTCAGGAGGAAGGGGGTGGAGTCAGAGCATGGCTGACTCAAGGATCACAGAGCCAAAGGCTACGTCCCATCTGGACAGTTACACGATGGCACAGGGCGACATGAAGGTATGCACCAAAGATCAAGTTGAGGCTTTGCAGATTTCATGGAGTGTTACATGAGCTAGGAAAGCCACGTAGGAAACTTGTGCTCACATAGAATGTGCCATGAGAGGCAGTGGGGCACCGTAACCAGATGATAACATGTACAGATACACGCTACAATCCAAGAAGAGCTTCGCAGTGATGAGACGTCTAATCCCTTCACACGATTGGCCACTGCCACAAACAGCCGCAAAAGCTTGTGAAACAGTTTGGGCCGGTCAAGTGCATGCCTCACAAAGGCAGTGCAGGCTTTGTTCTGGGACTTTAGGTGGGTTTCAGAGTACAACACAGGTAGACTAAACCTGGCTGAACTGGCCTGCTCGGAGCAACTTCAGTAGGTCCATCTTAGTAGCAGGAAGCCCCCTGCCAGGCTCACTTACTCTCCCAAATGGAAGCAGTTTTCATGTTAGTGCCTGCAGTGCAGTTTGGACCCTTTGTCTGCCTCCATTTCTCAGATGCTGGAGGATCTGGTGTCCCTGAAGCAGCAACTTCATCACTTAAGGAGCATCTGGGGGCCACCTCGGCTTTCCATTCAGGAGAGGCTGGCCACCCTGCATTCTCAAGCCCTCGCTTCCTCAAAGGTATGGACAGACTTTCCCAGTCAGCTTGGCACCCTGTCCCTGCCTGGGACCCCAGTCTGGTCCTTCAATGGGTCCCCTCTTTGAGCCCTGGTCACATGTTCTCTGCTTTACCTCTCATTGATGGGGACCTATCTGGCGATCATCACTGCACAGCATATCAGAGCTTCGTGCTCTGATGTCAGAACCCCCCTACAAGGACACGGTCCAGCTTCGCCCTCACTTAGCTTTCCTTCTAGAAGTGGTCTCCAGTTTTAGTCCCGAAGTGGACTTCACTTTGTGGAGAAGGTGTTACAAGGCCCTGTAGTCCTTCAGAGGCGGACCCATGATGGAGGTGCCTATGACTGCCCCAAGTCCTGACTGTCCCCAGGCTGGTCCTGGGCTTGCACTAACGGCCTAGGCTGGGTTTCGATTGGCAGCCTAGCAGAGGGTGCGGGCTCAGGTGGCAGCTGACTGACGGTTGCCTCCAGGACCTTGAAGTACCTGTTGTGCACTGAGCCTGGTGGAATGCCTGTGGTGTCCAGAATTGCCACTGCGGCGGCTACTGGGCAAGTTCACTCGAAGCTGCACAGCAGCCTGGCCCCACATCTGCTTAATGAGCCCTGCCCAGCCAGGGGCTCAGGGCTCCACAAACACAGCTGCCTGACTGGGGGCAGCATCTCCCTGCAAGGATAAAGCAGCAATTCTCTCCCACCTCTTGGCTGGGTGGGTGCCGCTGCACAGCTTACAGGGAATCTTACTACTGGGGGGAGGCTTCATACCCACAGGGGTGAGGGCCCGCCGGTGTTGACCTGTCAGAGGGCACAGAGGGCCCCCTCAGAACTGAAGTGAGAGAACCCGAGCGAGAAGATTGGTGCCAAGCTCTGTTGCCCTCAAGGAGAAAAGCGACTATAGGTAGACCGCTTGTGGGATTGTGACCTGTGCAGAGACTGAGTGCTGCATCTGGAGTTACACACTGCCGAGATGTCAGCCTACGTTGGGATCAAGGTTGAGACTGGCATCGGGAGTGGGATCAGCACCAGGAATGAGACCAATATAAAGAGCTGGAGTGGAGGGGGGAGTGGGACCAGTGTGGAAAGCAGGATCAGGGTGGAGAGTAGGGCTGGCATGGAGAGCAGTGTCGAGACAGGGACCCGTGCTGATGCTAGCTCCCCTGCAATGCTGCACAGTGGTGGGGTGAGGCTGCATGTTCTGGGGAACATCCATGTTCTGAAGATCGGTTTCAAGATAGGGGTCAAGACGGCAAACTACGGTGCCAGATGGTACAAGAGCAGCAGACGTGATGTGACAGCTCTGAGCCCGACCAGGATCTGCTGGCGAGGGGTGGCTCCGAGAGGACTGGCTGTGAGAGCAGTGCCGCGAGTCAGACCCACAGCGCGAATGAGACTGCCGATGCTCAGCTAAGCAGCACAAGGGTTCCAAGAGGAGGGATGCTGAGGTCGGAGTGAGAGGGCCAGCTTCCTAGTGTAGCTTGGCAGGGAGCGAGAGGCCTGTCCCTGGAAGAGTCTCGGTCACCTCAGTAAGGCCCCTGGCAGCCTCAAATGTGTCCGGTGTGCGGGACGGCCCGACTGGCCCTCGGAGAGTCCATGACAGGGCTCGGGGTGTGCGGAACTCAGCCTTCCATGCTGCGGGGCCAAAGACCAGCAGGATTCACGGGCACTGGGGACAGAGGCCAAACAGCACCACTGTTGCTGTCACTGGAGGGTGCAGGCGAGGGGCTTGGCCGCCTTTGACAGCCCTCGCCAGAGAGGACTGGGGCCGGGAGGACAGTCCCACTCCTTTCTGGTCTGAGGCTTGAAGGCCTGCAAATCTTACTCTTATCTGCTTGGTGAGCATCCCCCCCAGGCAGAAGTCATGGGGATCAGTCGTCAGCATAGACTTCTGGCAACAGATGCGGGGCTTGAATCCTGGGGCCATGCATTCCCCAGAGGGAACATAGAGGAGAAGGGGAAACCTCTTTACTCCCGCTGCTACAAATCCTAACTACCTGCTTACTATTAATTATTGTCACGCTAACACTAAATGCTAGAGATACGTGGCGCTTGCAGTGCAAGGGATCCAGAGTTCCAACAGCTGTCCCTGGTGGAAAGAAGGAACGGAGGGGCATTTGGATCAGCACAGTCATAGATAGGGCGCTGTACCGGCACCACTTCAGGGGGCTTTACAGTTACCCCAACAGGTAGCAGCTAGGGTAAAAACTTTCTGGCATCTGTGCACACAAGGCGCGCACACCTAATCGGAATAGATAAGAGCAAACTCTCGAAGAAGAATATGGTCAACACACTTGTCAAAAAATTACCAAAAATTGGTTAACCTTAAGACCCTTAAGTGGCCTACTTATGAAAGGACTAGTTAGATATCTGAGGTGATGATGCAGCTAATGTGAAAAGAAACTACTGAAAGTGACAGTAGCAAACAGCAAAGCTGAGCAGACATTAATGACAAAAGCTGGCATTACCAGAGCTCACCGTCGTATTACCTGCGGAGGAGTAGGTGTAGAGGTGGGTCTCACGATGGGAGGCGTAGGGTTCCTGCTGCCACCTCCAGACATTATTTCTTCTGTTATGTCTTTGCCTCCCTGGTTTGGATCCCGGATTCGGATCTATCAAATTGAACAGAGAAATAGTTCAAACGGGTATTCTCATCAGACACCATGCTAGGGAATATAAAGGGAAAGAAAGCATTCACAAGCCACATAGTTACCATTACATATGTCTTAAATACAGTCTATACTCTGTCAGCCTCTGGCACAAAACATCAGAGCTATTATTGCAAAATGACATGGATGTGACAAAACACTTCCACCCACGATGAGCCATGAGAATAGTCCTGCTGACAAGCTGTTGTTCCCAATGGCACTTGTGTGGCAAAACTTTTTGTCTATCAGGGTTATTTTCTTTTAGCAGATCTCACAACAACGTTGCTGAGACTGAAAAATGGCTCAGGAGCTTATCATAAGAATGGCCATATTGGGTCAGACCAAGGGTACATCTAGCCCCGGGCTGGGTAAATTACAGTCTGGGGGCTGGATCCGGCCTGCCAAACCACCAGATCCAGCCAATGGACCACTCTGCCGGGGTCCCCAGGCCTGCACATGCCACGGTTTAAACCCAGTCCGTGTGGCTCTCTGCTCTGTGGGGGGAGGAGGGGAGGGGAGCTTTGTGCAACCTCCCAGCCCCCAGCCCAATCCTCAGCTCCTATTGGCTGAAAACACCCTGCCAGTAGGAGCTGAGAGATTGGCCAGAGGGATGGGGGCAGCACGAGCCTCTTTCTCTTCCCGGAGCTGAGAGCCACATGGAGGGAACAGGGATTACAGTGATCTGGGGCTGCAGCAGGCAGGGAGCCCAGCCTGCCTTGGGGGTGCTGCAGGGCTGCTGGCTTAAGAAAGCGCCTCCCAGTGAGAGCCAGCCTCTGGCACCCCTCCCGCACCCCAACTTACCATGCAAACCCTCTGCACCCCTCTCCCACAGGGCACCATTCCCTCCCAGGCCCTGTACCCTTCCTACAGCCCTCCCCCAGGCCAGAATCCTCTCCTGCACCCAAACCCTCTTCCAGACCCTGCACCAGGTCACCACCCAAACCCTCTGCAGTCTGCAGCCCCTTTCCCCCTTCTCCCAGGTCACAATTCCCTCCCAGACTTTGCACCTCCTAGAGCCCCTCCCCCAGGCCAGAATCCTCTCTTGTATCCATACCTGCTCCCTGACCCTACCTCTCCACTCCCCTGACTCAGGTCACAACCCCCTTCTTCACCCAAACTCCCTCTGAGACCTCACACCTTCTCCTGCACCCCTGTGCCTTACCCCATGCGCCCTTCTGCACCCAACCTCTACCCCAGACCCTGCATCTCCTCCATAGAAAAGTGGAGCCTTTGACCACTTTCCAAAATCTTGGAGCGGCCCCCCACCAAAAATGATTGTCCACCCCTGATCTAACCCAATATCCTATCTGCCCCAGAGGGAATCAACAGGCAAGAAATCATGAAGTGCTCCATCCTCTGTCACCAATGCCCAACCCTGACAAACAGATTCTAGGGACATCATCCCTACCTATCCTGGCCAATAGCCATTGATGGACCTACCATCCCTGAATATAGCTAGCTCTTTTTTGAACCTTGCTAAAATCTTGGCCTTCATAACATTCTCTGGCAGGAAGTTCCACAGATTGACTGTGCGCTGTGTAAACAGACATTTCCTTTTGTTTGTTTCAAACCTGGTGCTGATTAATTTCATTTGGTGAGGCATAGTTTTTGTGTATTATGGGAAGGATTAAATCAATCTTTCTCCTTGCCAGTCATGAGTTTATAGACCTCTCTTATTCCCCCTTGTCTGTTTTCCAAGCCAAAAAGTCCAAGTTTTATTAATCTCTGCTTATATGGCAGCTGTTCCATACTACTAATGTTATTTCCCTTTTCTATAACTTTTCCAAATCCAATATACCTTGTTAGAGATGAGGCAACCACATCTGCGCATAGTATTAAACATGTGGGCATTCCATGGATTTATAGAGAGGTAATAGACATTTTCTGTTTTATTTTCAATCCCTTTCTAATGATTCCCAACTGTTTGTGTTTTTAACTACCCCTGCACACAGAGTGGATGTTTTCAAAAACCTAGTCACAAGAACTCTGAGATCTCTTTCTTGAGTGGTAACAGCCAATATGCACCTCATCATTTGATATCTATAGCTGGAATTATGGTTTCTAATGTGCATTACTTTGCATTTATCAGCACTGAATTTCATCTGCCATTGTGTTCCTCAAGCACCCAGTTTGGTGAGATCCTTTTGAAGCACTTAAAGTCTGCCTAGGACTTGACCATCTTGAGTAGTTTTGTATCATCTGCAAATTTTGCCACCTCACTGTTCATTCCCTTTTCCAGAGGTTTTAAATAAATAGAACACAATGCACATAAAAACATAATGCTCTGTATGTGACTACATGGACTCCCTTCTGCCAACCTAAATGGGCTCTAAAGTTGACTTCTGTACTCCACCTCTGTGAGAGGTGTAGCACTCGGGTCACCATCCATGAGTGCCTAGTGTGGACACTGAAGTAAAATGCAGGACTATGTAGCACTTTAAAGACTAACAAGATGGTTTATTAGACTATGAGCTTTCGTGGGCCAGACCCACTTCCTCAGATCAAATAGTGGAAGAAAATAGTCACAGCCATATATACCAAAGGATACAATTAAAAAAAATGAACACATATGAAAAGGACAAATCACATTTCAGAAAAGAAGGGGGATGCGGGGGGGGGAGGAGGAAGGAGGGTAAGTATCTGCGAGTTAATGATATTAGAGGTGGGGAAAGTTAGATGTCTGTGAGCTAATGGTATTAGAGGTGATAATTGGGGAAGCTATCCTGGTAATGGGTAAGATAGTTGGGGTCTTTGTTCAATCCGCCTCCCCGGAGAGTGTCGAATTTTAACATGAATGACAGTTCAGAGGATTCCCTTTCAAGTGCAAATGTAAAAGGTCTTTGTAGAAGAACGCAGGTGGTGAAGTCGTTGAGACAGTGTCCTTTCTGGTTGAAATGGCAAGAAATAGTTTTTTCTTTACATTGCATAATTGAAAACAACTGGCCTCCAAGCATGGAGAGTTTGCCAGCACAGCTGACCACACAGACTCAAATCAGCAAATTCACTCCAGCATGAATTACAAAGGTGGTGGAAAAGAGTCTGTGCAGGCAGAGCTCCAATCCACCAGAAGAAACATTGACACCTATGTCAAGATTCCACGGCGCCTGGGGAGAAAGGATACACTGGGGACATGCAGCAGTTTCATCAAGCAGAAGAGAAGACAAAGGAGGAGAACACTCCTTCTGGATCTGCCCCACCGAGGGTCTGCGTATGATTCTCAGAGACGCGCTCACCACTACACCAAAAGGCTTCGTGAATACCTCCCAGACACAGGAAGTGACCTTGAACAATGACTAGCAAGATAAGGAAGTGACTACGAGGCAGGCAAGTGAAGGATTTGCTCTCCCCAACCACCAAGGACTGTTTTTAACCCCGGAGACAGAGCCTTCGCAGGTCTAGCTAGTGGCAGAGCATGATACTGAGCAAGGCACCCCGGTGAGAATCAAGCTGAAGGGGTTGCTTGCTATTACTTATTATGTTTAGTTTAAGCAAAAAATCTCGGTGTAATGGGTATCAGTATCCATTCCAAAGATGCAGAAGGTGTTGTGTAAATATGCTATGATTGTGGAATGCCAAAACATGCCATGATTGTGGTTGGAAAGGATCACCGCGTATTGGAAGCAACATTGGAAAAAAAAGGAGGGAGGAGGATGGCAACTTCCTGTTTTTCTGACTTGCCATCAACTTGGTGCTGCTATTCTAAAAAGCAAACTATTTGGGAGGGCTTCACACAGGTGCCTGTCCTCAAGCAGCATGCAGGTTGCTACGCGAAAGGGGTTTTTCTTAAGTTCCAACGTATGATCCCAAGGATGTCTTCACAATTGCAGCAGCAAAAGACCTCTTGCCCATGCCTTGTACTTTACTCACCATGGCTGGAGCAGCAAGCCAACTCTTGCAATAGTCAGCAGTTGCGATTGCGCTGTGACTTGCAGTGAAGTGTACTGGGAGTGTATTTTTAATTTAAAAAATTAACCTTGCACCAGAAGCAATGTATGCACTTGTCAATGCTACCCTTGTGCTTTGCATTCCTTGCTGCTGAAACCTTGTCCATCGGTGCATCCTCCACACCAGGACACAGAGTTCCCTAGATTAGAAGGCAGAAAAAGATGACTCGGGAGGACATATTCAATAAATTAATGCATGCCTCCAAGAGTGACAAGATGGAGCTCAGAGCATGGAGAATATCATGTCCGAGAATCTGGACATGACCTGGGAGATAGGAGAGCATGCAGGGAACAAACACGTGCCATGCAGGAAAAGACGATGTGGATTATGAAGGTGCAATCAGACATGTTGAGGGTGTGGCTGAGGTTCAAGGAAGGTAGTGGGATGCCAGAGCCCCTCTGACTGTGCTGAACCAGATGCCTTGTCGCCCACTTATACATCCTCCTCCCCCCAGTATCCCTTACATTCAACGCCACAGGAGGGTCCAAGGACCAGAAGGTGCCCATTTCCACACCTTTGACCGTTACTGCCCCCTTTGGCCGCCCGGTTATCTCACATTTCTTTGATGCCACTGTGTGATTGTGTGCAGAATAAAACTTAATGAATTGAGAAGAGGAGGCTCAACACACAGTGGCTGGTGATAGTGGAGTTTACAGGGGACAGTTGAATCACGAACAACACAGGAAGTGTCACATTACTCTGGCTCACTGCTGAAATTGGTTGTCAAAGCCTCCCCCAAAATGCAAAGCCTCTCCATGCACTCTTTTTATTGTCCTGCTGTCTTGCTGCTCAACACTTGCTGCCAGGAAATCAGCCTCAATATCCTATCCCAGAGAAAACCTTTTTCTCTTTGTTTCACAAATTTTGTGGAGCACCCAGCAGGCAGCAATAATGACATGGTATTGCTTTCACTGACCGTAACCTAGTCACCACAATTCTGCACTTGTCCTTACAGCTGTCCAGGCTGCCGATGTATGGCTTTGTGAGCCATGAGAGCAAGGGGTCGGCTCAGGATCATGTCTGGCAGCTCCACATCACCAATGGTTATTTTCAGGGCTCGACAAACTGCGCACCCCGTTTACCAGCAGTGCTCGCGCATGCGCAGCACGGGGCTGGTGAGTGGCTTTCGCCGCTGTTTGTCAAGCCCTGGTTATTTTACAGTCTGGAAAGAATGTCCCTAGTTGTAGCTATTTGCATCATCCACCTTTCTTGGCGAACCCACATTGAGGTTTGTGAAACAGCCCCTCTGATCCACCAGCTCCTGCAGTACCCACTTCAGTTTATCCGCTATTTGCAAGGTGGTGTGGTGCCAAGATCAGGAACTTGTTCTGTCTATCGCCCCACCAAAGCTAGGGAAGTCCATCACAGCAAACCCATCCACTAAGTCCTGAACACTGCGCAAAGTCACCATCCTCCTTAGCAGAAGTCTGTCCATGGCACTGCAAACTTCGATCCCAACAGATCCCCCAGTAGATGAAGCTACTTTAAATTGATGGCCCACCCACTGGTAGCAGTGTGGGGCTGTTAGCTTCCACAGAGCTACTGCCATTTAATTCTCCACTGTCAGAGTAGCTCTCATTTTTGCACTGCTGTGCTTCACGGCTGGGAAAAACTCCTCACATAGTTACTGGAAAGTGACCGTACGTATTCAAAAGTTCTGCAACCATTGCTCGTGACTCCACTGCTGCATAATGATGCAGTCCTACAAGTCAGTGTTTGTTTCCTGGGCCCCAAAATGGCACTTAACTGTGTCAAGATGAGGCGTGATACCACCAGTAACTAGGAATTGCTGCCCTCTAGGTCTTTCAGCAGCACTGCTTGTGCGACATCACATTTCTCTGTGCGGGAGCTCCTGCGTGTAAAAACTGCAGGATACATCGCCAGGTGTTCCTAATGCTCAGAGCAAGAGCTGAGAGGGTCTGTGCCTTTTGTGCTATGGCATCTGCGGCGTAGTCCAGGCTTAAAAAGAGTGTGCAAAAAAGGCTCGGTTTGTTTGCCACTGATTTCAGGGAGCGAGGCAAAAACACCACATGAGGCTAACAACATATTCACTGGCCACCTGCACCACTGCTGTGCCCTCATAAGGCTCTACAAGCCCAACTCCCAATTCCACTTGGCTACGTGCACTGCAGATAGCTACCCACCGGGCAGTACTTCAGTCACCCATGCAAGCCTAGTAGGGAGGACGCATTCCGCTGACCAATGAGCCTAGTGCGGACACACAAAACTGACTTGCTTAAACCGGAGGCTCGATGTGGACTTATATGAAACTGACTTGACTTAGCAGTGTAGACATGACCCGAGTCTCAATGCCCATGCAGCTGGGCTTTCGGGGCTCACGCTGCAGGCTAAAAATAGCAGTGCAGATGGTCTGATTTCAGCGAAAATCCACTGAGGGGTCTCAGAGCCAGGGTTCCCCACCAAGCTAGAATGTTTATGACACAATTTTATACTCCCACATTTGGGTTGATTTATATGGCACAACTACTGATTTATATTTGACATTTTTTGGATGTTGAAAATGAAGAGACTGCTCATGAACAAGGCTGATGTTGAAGAGCAGCTGGAAGGCTAGGAAAACAGACTTACTGCCATAGACATCAACCTCCCATCTAGCCAAGGGGTGCTGGTCCCTTGCTCTGCCCATGTCCCCATGTCATCTCATTCCCACAAGCCCCACAACTCGGCTCTGCCTCCACCCCACCTCCTTCCCCAAGGGCACCCTGTTCCTTTCTGCTCCTCCCTGGAACTTCCGGATTCACATCACTCTGGAAGTGTTGAGAGGGTGGGAGAAGAGTTGGTTAGTTGGGCCACCAGTGGGAGAGAGTTAAGGGGGCGGGGCACAGAAGGTAAGCTTGGTGCCGGTCTGTGCTCAGTACCCACTGATGTTTTCTTGGAGATGTCCCATCCCAGGAGCACCCACGGCATCAATGTAAGTATACTACCATGGCTGCATGTTGCTGAGAACGGTATAAAAATGTCTTGCTTGCAATATCACCCAGTTAAATGTTCTGCTTTTCCATTTCAGTGGAATAGGTATTATGTACTTTGAGATGTGTGCAAATCCTTCCTATCTTGCTAACAACTCACGACAATGTTTATATTTTCCTTTAAGAGAATTCTATCTTCACCACTTCAGTACATTCAGTCCCGTGTTCCCTACCATCTCTTGCAATTGTAGGCATATTGAGGCAGAAAATTCAAACCAGGCTTGATAATAATTTAATATTAATTTTTCAGCTGTAGTATCAATAAATAGCTTTCATAGAACACCAAAACTGGAAGGGACCTCAAGAGGTCATCAAGTCCAGTCCCCTGCCCTCAAGACAGGACCAAGTACCATCTAAATCATCTCTGAAAGATGTCTGTCTAACCTGCTCTTAAATATTTCCAGTGCTGGAGATTCCACAACCTCCCTAGGCAATTTATTCCAGTGTTTAACCACCCTGACAGGTAGGAAGTTTTTCCTAATGTCCAACCTAAACCTCCCTTGCTGCAGTTTAAGCCTATTGCTTCTTGTTCTATTATAAGAAATCAAGGAGAACAATTTTTCTCCTTCCTTCTTGCAACACCCTTTTAGGTACTTGAAAACTGCTATCATGTCCCCGCTCAGTCTTCTCTTTTCCAAGCTAAACAAACCTGATAGGTCATGTTTTCTAGACCTTTCATCATTTTTTATGCTCTTCTCTGGATCTTCTTCAATTACTCCACATGTATCCTGAAATGCAGTGCCCAGAACTGGACAAAATACACCAACTGAGGCCTAATCAGCGCAGAGTAGAGCAGAAGAATGACTTCTTGTGTCTTGCTCACAACACTTCTGTTAATGATGTGTGCTTATTTTTGCAAGAGTCACAGTGTTGACTCATGTTTAAGTTGTGGGCCACTATGACCCCTAGATCCCTTTGAGTAGTATTAATTCCTAGACAGTCGCTTCCCATTCTGTATGTGTGAAACTGATTGTTCCTTCCTAAGTAGAGCACTTTGCATTTGTCCTTATTAAACTTCAACCTGTTTACCTCAGCCCATTTCTCCAGTTTGTCCAGATCATTTTGAATTTTGACCCTATCCTCCAAAGCACTTGCAACCCCTCCCAGCTTGGGATCATCTGCATAAGCGTACTCTCTCTGCCATTATCTAAAATGTTGATGAAGATATTGAATAGAACCGGTCCCAAAACTGACCCCTGCAAAAGCCCACTTGTTAGGCCCTTCCAGCAAGAGTGTGAACCATTAATAACTACTCTTTGAGAACAGTTATCCAGCCAGTTATGCACCCACCTTTCAGTAGCCCCATCTAGGTCGTATTTCCCTAGTTTATTGATAAGACTAACAAATGCTTTACTAAATACTACTTATACCATGTCCACCGCCTCTCCCTTATCCACAACGCTTGATAGACTATCAAAGAAAGCTATCTGATTGGTTGCAAATGTTTTGTTCTTTACAAATTCATGTTGGCTATTACCGATCACCTTATTATCTTCCAGAAGTCTGCAGACAGATTCCTTAATTATTTGCTCCATTATCTTTCCTGGCACAGAAGTTAAACTGACTGGTCTGTAGTTTCCTGGGTTGTTCTTATTTCCCTTTTTATAGATGGGCACTAGATTTGCCCTTTTCCAGTCTTCTGAAATCTTTCCCATCTTCCATGACTTTTCAAAGATGATCGCTAAAGGCTCAGATACCTCCTCTATCAGCTGCTTGAGTATTCTCGGATGCATTTCATTAGGCTCTGGTGACTTGAAGACATCTAATTGTTCATGTTTACTATAGTTGGGGTACGTCTACACAGCTGTGTTATTTAGGAATAACTGATATTATTCCGAAATAACATAGTGCACATCTACACTACAAGCCTTTACTTTGAAATAATGTTGAGCAGGAGGACTTCTTACTCCGACTCATGGTAACCCTTGTTTCACAAGGAGTAAGGGAAGTGGAAGGAAGAGTGTTCTTCCTTCGACTTCCTGCTGGGCAGACAGCTCCAAAAGCTGAATTAAGCTATTTTGACTCAAGCTACACAAATGATGTAGCTGAAGTCGCGTAGCTTAATTTGACTCTAAAGCCCTGCTGTGTACACATACCTTTAGAAGAAGAAGAAACTAGCACCCAGTAAATTCAACACTGTGTAGACTGAAAAACAAGTTGAGCTAGCCCCCTTTATATACAACTATGTGATTGGATGCTCTACCCTTCATCAGAAGATCTAGGCTAAGAAGGAACCTAGCGGGAGGGGAAAAGAACCACAGAAGGGCAAGGGAGTAAAAATCTGAGTTTAATGTTGCATTTTATATCAGTGAGTCCCATTCAATGTCCCAGCCCTGCTATAGCAGTCCTAGATCCATAAAGAAAGTACCAGAAGAGTAAGCTCTTACTGTTTTTTTCTCTCTTTTCGCTGGTGGAGGCGGTTGTTGTTGCTGTGTAGGCACTATGATGGGTGTTGACTGATACACTGTCTGACTTGGGTAGAACGGTGTTCCTAGGAAATCACAACAAGATAGAAACACATATTCAGTTTGTTTGTACATGAAGTGAAGTGAAGAGCAGTAAGTGAGTGACAGCCCTCAGATCCCCCCCCTCTGTGCGCAGCTTCTTCTCCACTTCTATCAAATCAGAATATGACATCTCAAGACAAGTGATGGAGAGAGTCACTATTCCACTTTTTCGTATGACTAGGGAAAGGGCCACAAACATCGTCTTTCTAGAGGCACTGAAGACACTACTGAAATGAAACAACACTAACAGTAAGGAAAATCTGCTCTTCCCCACACTTCAGAGAGCTGTGATGATCGTGTCAAGCACTGAAAAAAACCTATACAGAATTAATGAAATAAGACCAGTCTCTTATCTGGTGTAGAGAAAGCCATAACCAAACAATTCCCTAGCTGTTGTAATTGCAACTGCAACCTATTTTGAAACAGAGCTGGAGACTTTCACTTCAGCCATAGGTCTGTTCTCATGGAACAGGACATAAAAGCACAACTCATGATTACTACTGCAAAATATAAATTGTACTGTGGATTAAATTGACAACGTCAATATCCAACAATCTTTAGGCATCTTTTCCTTATTGGAAACAAGACCACTCATATGGCTGAGCAGTCAGTTATAAGGAATCCTGGGATGCAGACAAACAAAGGTGACACATCAGAGCTGGTACTGGAATTCACGTAAGACAGTCCTGCATTCTTCTAACGTAGAACATGAGCTAAGCCGGCACGGGCATGGGCCACATCCAACCTGTCAGCCATTTTAATCCAGCCCTCGAACCCCCTTGGGAGAGGAGTCTGAGGCTTGCTAAGCTCCATGCATGCTGTGGCTCCTGGAAACAGCAGCTATCCCCCCTCCACCTCCTGCATATAGGGGCAGCCAGAGGGCTCCATGGGCACCCAAAACCCAAACTCCACCCCCGCAAGTCCCACTGGCTCGGAATTGTGGCCAGTGGGAGCTGCAGGGGTAGTACCTGTGGACGGGAAGGAGGAGAGGGGGGCAGACAGAGCCTCCTGATCTGGAAGGGGGCCATGCTGCTGCTTCCTGGAGCTGTTTGAGGAAGTAAGCGCAGCTCAGGGCCTGCAGTCTGGCCCCCACTACAAACCCTGACCCACTGACCCAGCCCCAATTCCCCTCCCATCCTCCAAACACCTCTGTCCCAGCCCAGAATCCAGAACCCAGGGCCTGTAGCACCAACTGAGGTCCTCACAACACTCCCTCCACACACCAACCCTCTGCCCCAGCCCAGAGCTTCCTTCCCTCCTCCAAACCCTTCAGGCCTACCTAAGAGCCCCCTGCTGCACCCCACACTCCTCATCCTTGGTCCCACACCAGAGCCTGCACTCCCACTCACAGCTCTTACCATCACACACACTCCAAGCCCAATTTCATGAGCATTTATGGCTCTTCATACAACTTCCAAACCTGGATGTGACCCATGGGCCAAAAAGTTAGCCTAGCTCCAGGTTGGACAATGTGCCCTTCACTCATATCTAAGGTAATCCTATTTATTCTACAACAGGGTTAGGCTTTGATTAAAATAAAATTAATATAAGGCATTTCCTTGAGGAATCTCTTTATTGCATCAGTGCATGCTACCCCAAAAGGGGAGCCAGAGAACCTTTCACTCACAGAAGGGAGTGTTGAAATCCAAACAAACAAAATAACCCTCTGTCTACGAGTTCAGATTTGTGTCTTGCAAGGGCTGTGTTTCTGGAGTGGCAAACTAGACTGCAAGGACTTGAAGAGGTTCGCTTCTTCTCGGTCGCACACTGACAACAGACCTGTGCATGACAGCTCCTGACCTGCGAACATAGTAGGCAAGTGGCTGCCCTGAAATAAGCATTTTCAAACTGTGGAAAGCCAAGGCTACTAGGGAAAACCACAGAGAATTTGGAGTAACAATTGTGGAGATCTGATTTCATTTTGGTTCTGAAGTTACTGACCATTACATGGCCACCATCATCACAGTGCCTGACTGCCTTCCGAACAATAAAACCGCCCTGGGAAGAAGGGCAGAGCTGGGATCCCCAATTTATACATGGGGAAAACAGGCATGAGCACAGGCTCCCCCCCCTTCCTGGCATGGTGATTTTTTGTGCATCCGCAAAGTATTTTTGGTCCCCTGGATATTTTAAGCCAGGCTTTTGTGTAATTATTCCATCTCCCCTACAAAGCTTTAAGGTCAACAAGTACCCGTGCTGCTCCCATTTGGTTATGTGAATTCCTAGATCAGGCTGGGGAACCTAAGGCCCAGAGGCCAGATGCAGTCCCTGGCTTGCCTGGATCCGGCTCCCAGGGCTCAGGGCTCCACCCCCTCAGCACTGGGGAGCCTGCGCTAGTGCTCCAGTCCCTGCTGCTCCCTGTCTGACTGATTTTTCTGTGGGTCACTGGCCTCCAGCCCAAAAAAGGTTCCTCACCCCATCCTAGATACCTGGTTTCCAGCTAGTAATGCCATCCGAGTGGAAGAGAACATAAGAACGGCCATACTGGGTCAGACCAAAGGTCCATCTAGCCCAGTAGCCTGTCTGCCCACAGTGGCCAGCACCAGGTGGCCCATGGGCCAAAGACAATGATCAAGCGATTTGTCTCCTGCCATCCTTCTCCAGACTCTGAAAACAGAAGCCAAGGACACCATTTCTATCCCCTGGCTAATAGCCTTTTATGGACCCAACCTCCATGAAATTATCTAGCTTCTCTTTAAACTCTGTTATAGTCCTAGCCTTCACAGCCTCCTCTGGCAAGGAGTTCCACAGGCTGACTACACACGGTGTGAAAAAGAACTTTCTTTTATTAGTTTGAAACCTGCTACCCACCTGAACAGCATAGAGTGCTGATTAAATAGCTTTCTAGTTCTCTAGAGAACAGATATTCAGGGATCATATTATGGATGATCTTATTATGAGAGGCCCATTGTGGAATTGAATAGGAAGTGAGCCCTGTGAATAGGGATCTTCTTTTAAAAAGGAAATTTAAAAAAGCAGAGCCTGAAAAGCAAAAGCAATCTTCGGAAAGAAAAAAAGTTACCAGCTGAGAAAACATAAGGGTTCCTCTCTGGATAGTGTAGTAAACCAGCCTTCTCTATGCCCTTCGTTTTCATTCCTTTTAGTTCCATGCCACCCATTCTAGTTTTGCCCTCTCTTACTTCCATTTCCCATTTCAATTTTCTCCCAACACCTTCCTAGAATGAACTGACACAAAGTGAACAATAAATCACAAAAATAAATCACTTCCCATCTTTATAAATGTCTTCTTTTGCTATATTTTATTATGTACCCCTATTTGGGGCTTGTCAGATATGTGGATGATGGCTGGTTAGCAGCTACACACAGAACAGAGTTCTCAGGTTTAAGATAAAGAACACCAATCTTACTATCTAGGCCAGTAGAGGTTACATGTGTCACATAGCTGGACAAAACGGAACACAACAGTTGCATAAGAACAGCTGTGTATCCTGTCCTCTTGTGATACGAAGGCTTCCACTTAAACTGCATACTGATTCTTATTAATGGCCATCAATTAAACACGTTCAAATTCAGATTCATTGACTGCAAACAGTCTGTCCAGCACCTGATGCCATGCTAACTCTTTCATTTCAGTGAAAAGATAAACAGAGTCCCAGGCCCACCTACAAATCTAGGCAACAACAGCAGGATACAAAAAAATTTCTTCTCCTTGGCCAGACCTCCTCTGCCTGTGAGAAATTAAACAGCACTAACTGCGTCCTGGAAGGTGACACTGAAGATTATCATCCCTGCCCTATTAGTTCAGCAGACTGGGACTGAAAGATTTCAGCCCCCGCATGGAGACCGGGGTCAGCGGGGGACTCCCTGCTGGCCCAGGGCTCCATGCTGCGTTCCAAGTGGTTCTCGTGTACATTTCAGAGGCAGAATGAGGAAGTTCTTATCAACTAATTGAATAGTCGATGGAAATCCCATCGACTATTCAATTAGTTAATTAATCGAAATTTAACATCCCTAGTAGACATAGCCTAACTTGGAGAATACATGGTGTAGCTTTAATTTTTTTTCTGACTGTCTTGACTGATTTTTTAATCCCTCCCCACTCTCTTAACAACATTTTCCATTCTTTATTTTGTAGTTTGAAAACCTTGTTCTGGTTCCTTATGTGTTCTTTGAACTGCTGTGAATTCTTAACATGGGGGCTGAAATCTTTCAGTCCCAGTCTATTCTAAGGCTGTCAACATGCAACAGTCAGCAAAACTGAAAACTCACCAAACCTCTTTTTCTGCCATCCTTTGTCGACACACTGGCCACATTGTTAACTCCTGTTGACAGCAAGAGCAAAGCAATGTGGCTAAGCATCCCACCGTGCCTGGCGTCACTTTCAGTCACCAAGCACTATGGGAATGTGCAACGTAGCCCTAAGCATTTTGGGAATTTGCAAAACATCTCGTCAGCCACCTCTTTGCTTCCCAGACCCGCCAGGGCTTCCAGCTTCCTTTCACGCCTCTTGAATGACAGTCCTTGCTGCGAACTTCAGCATCTGCTATGGGAAATCCTGGATCCCAGACTTCTCTCCCATGTTGTGTTCAATGCATTTAGGACATCACGCACTGCAGCAGAGCTATGTATGCATTCAATAGCAGAGGACAAAGACTCAGATGCAGACGACAGGGACAGCAGCAAAATGGCTTTGCATTGGGCTGGCACAGAGCAGCTGGGCATAGCAGAGTACTGCTTTTGGGCTAGGGAAACTAGCACTGAGCGGTGGGATCACATTGGTATGTGGGCGTGGGAGGAAGTCCAGTGGAGGCAGAACTTTTGAACGTGTAAAGCAACCTTCCTGGAGCTGTATGCTGAGCTGTGGTGCAAGGACACCCGAATGAGAGCTGATTGCAAAGGCTTCCAAAAGGCCCTATAAGTACAGGGATCTACCTACCTAGCCCCTATTGCTGAATATGGTCCAGCAAAGCAAGTAACCAGCATAGGTCATGGGAACATACATTGTTATTACCACAGGCTACGTCATCCTACAATTCACCCAAATACAACAAGGAAGAAACTGAAAAAATGTAGTCGAGTTAGTAAACAAACACCACTTTTTTAAAGAGACATTGTCAGCATAGTAACAATTACAACACATATCTAGCTAATGTTTCATTTTAGATTGTTATAATAAAGGCCAAATTCTATCCCCTATGCAGAAAGAATAGCAGAGAAGCCTGTTTTCCGGAAGTACACCTTGTAGAGCTTTCATCGGGTCATCCCTATAAGGTGAAGTACAGAGTTTACTTCCTCTCCAGTGCATTTTGCTGTCATTTAAAAAAGTTCTTTAAAGCGTTTTGGGTTTCGGTTGCATAAAACTATCCTTCTCACAAAATTTAGATTAATTAAATAGTGTCCCCTTCTTGCCACATCTTAGCTCATGTAAATCACAATAACTGTCAACAATCTGTTATTACAGGTCTATTACATGTGGACCATTTCCCACAAAACTCCTTTACCATCCAAATTTACTGCCGCAAAACCCACATATTCTCCCACAATGAAGCGAACCTCGTCCTGGCCAAATAATCTGCTGCAAATAAGTTTTGAAATAATTTTAGCCTTTATTCTCTGGGAATTATTTACAACCTATGCTTATTTTTGGCAAATGTACATTGTTATGCTTTGACTATTTGCACTTCCTGATGTGTGACTGGCCATCCAAATTACATAGTTTTTTTTCTCTGTTCCCTGACTAAATGCCAAACTTTTGAACATAGGAGAAAAATAAATAAAAAAAGGTTAGCTGGATGGCTATGGATGTATTCAGTGCACAACCCAATGGAGCTTAGGCCTTAAGGTGCAATAACACTAAAGTAATAAATAATTACTATAATGATGATGAGGATTAAACAGTGAATAACAAAAAGCCAAAACTCTTGTTCACACTTGAATGCTCTTTTTGCACATGAATGAGAATGTTTGTATGAACAGCAATTAATCTGCAAACATTCATGCACACAAAAATGGTTTTGTGTATGATCGGAGTAAGCAATCAAGAGCACTATATACACAAATATAGCAGTTGTTTCAAATTCACACTAATTATTCTGACTTTACAATATTAAACCAGCTGTAACGAAATAACAACAAACCCAGTCCCCATCAAGCAATCCCCTTCTTTCCCAAACTATACACAATCCTCCACCCAGCTTACCATAGGCATTGGGGAATTCTCCGGGACCGGGACCTGGATAGTACGGCCCTGGCCCTGGCGGTTGAACAGGATACTGCTGTGGTGGCCCAACATAAGGAGGGCCACTGTGACGATACTGTGAGAGAAAAATTACAGGCATTTACAAACAATTATCATATGACTTAGCACGACATACAGAAGCTGTAATTAGCCTGGTTTTTAAAAAACTCTAAAAAAGAGATGATGAAACCTTCTTAAATATGGATTCAGAATGTTGCTTGCTCCCAAAAAAGTCGTAAGAAAGAAATGCATGCTGTGTCATTTGAGGTAAAGCTATTCAGACAACCAGTGCTGATGCAGACCATAGTCAAGTTGATTTCATTCCAATCATTTCTGTAATGCAGGACGCAAACAAAGCCCAATGTTTAATAGTATCAGCACATCGCTTAAATGAATGCAAGAGCCGTTACAATGCTATGTTTTTGAGGAACTTAATTTTTCATCATTTCTATCAGATGAAGCATAATCATTCTAGAAATTTTTCATCTCAGAAATAAAAAGGATAACCATTTATGAGTATCCCCTCTCCACCCACTGTCTTGTCAGATAAACATATATGTAAAGAAGAAAAAGGACAGGGTTACGCTGCTAATGGTATCAACCATAATCCTCTATCTTTCCCATAAACCCAAAACATCCCCATCTTTTAATCCAGGAGCAATAACTGTAGCTCATGCAGGTTCAGATGTGCTTAGGTAATATATTACCTGTGGTATACAGTATTGGGGGCCCTGGGGCATTGGATACGGCATTGGCAGATGGTTAACCATCATGATGTGTTGGTTGGTTTGATACACTGCAGTTGGTGTTTGTGCACCAGGACGGATAGAAGGGTTGCTGTTCTGGATGGCAGCTCTAGAAGGCTGAATTTGAGGCCTCTGAAAAAACTAGAAGAGGGAAGCAAAAAAATTTTAAAAAGTCAAAAATTATTTTTTTCTGAAAAGAAATCTGTAATATCAAATATAGGAAGAGAAAACCATACTGTAATTAAAAAAACACTTTCAAAGGGTTGCCACCCATTCAGAACATTGCAGGACAGTTTCCATTAGTTTTTAACATTGGCACTTTGCACAACCCTCAGTTTTACAATTTTCGGAGTGAGAAAGAGACCAAGACCAAACAATCACATTTTAAACTATAATGATATAACCATTAGTGTGCCTGGTGAATTATATACACCAACTTTCAGGCTAATGGTTAGAGGAAAAGGTTCTATGCAAATTTATTCTATAATGTATGGTAGACTGAAAATACACCTCCTTTATAAGTGATTTGATAAGGCAGTAAAAAGATCAAGGAAACCTTGTTGAAATTCCAGAATATCTAAAATTCTGACTTGTATGGGGGTTTTAGGTCCCCCTCTACTTTCCCTCTTTACCTTACCGAAAGTTTGAAGGAACTACCTGTCCTGAATTTCTTTTTCAAAATGGTGGCATCCCCTTTCTAAGTTGAACTGAACTTTTCCCGAACACTTGCATAAAGCAACCCACCACATAATGTAACTCACACAGACGGCTCCAGGGAACAAAGCAATATGATATGTGATTCAGGTCTCAATTCTCTTGAAGACAAGCATCAGCATCCAGGATGTGGAAGCATACAGAGTGCTAGAAGCCCTCACTCCGATTATAACTGTGTTTCTCAAAGTGGACCTCTTTGGGATAGCCGCTAGTGGACCCACACCGCTTTGTTTACCAAAAGGGTGTGTAGCATGGCGCCTCAAAGCCCCTGTTTACAGCCAAGGGGAGCCACGGGAAGCAGTAGTCCGGACCATGCTGGTTCCCGCGGTTCTCTTTGGCTAGAAACAGCGAACCAGAGCCAATGGGATCTGTAAGACTCCCATGGCTACAGACCCTTTAGGTAAAGAAAAAGATGCAGGCCGACTAACGGCTTTCCCAACGCAGGCCCGTGGCCCACGTAGAGAAACACTGCACTACAATTTTAATAATCTTAAAAGTAAACACATAAGTTATGCATCATACATTAATACATAAACTCATTTAATAACAAACCATGTGATGAAGAAACACTTATGCCATGCAGAACCAGTAGTTAAAATTACCTGGATGGGTCTGAATCCTCCCTTCAACAACGAAGCAAGAAAGCATCAGGAAACAGAAAGAAAGCCAATGGAACAACTTACAGATTAATATGAAGGGATAGGAGATAACATTAACCCTAATGTAATCGTTCCAATTATCTTTCTAACCGCTTTTCTATATAACAGGGCAGGAAAGATACTGAGCTAGTATCAAGAAATCTTTTCCTGTCAGAATTTCAAGCATGTTTCATGTATAAGTTTTCTAGAAAGTATTACATTGAAGAATAAAATATAAGTTAAAAAATTAAAATTTACAGCAAACAATACTGGAGAAAGACTTTACGTGCAGCTCGTTCTTAATATCAACCACTTTTCTCCTCCTCTGTTAGCTATATTGGTAGTCCAGAAATAGCACTATGCACAAAACAGAAATGAACCTGTGCTCAAATCCTAGATTTGGTCTGCAACTCTATGCCAAGGATAGAAGAAGAAGAGATATATGCTCAAAGCACTGGGTAGAAAGTATGACAGTCATACATCAGTCTACAGTGACTACTGCTGATAAATGAGGTGTGTTAAAACAAGCAGTCAGTTCTAGGCAAGCTATTTCATGAGTACAGAGGGTAAGAGTGGAAGTCTAGGCCAAGCGAAGCTGGTCTGGCACCGGGAAAGAATGGGCCAATATATATACTTCATTCTTAAGCTCTCTTCTCCAGTGGACAAGGCAGAAAGGTCTTATAATGCACCTCTCCTCGGGCACAGTGACAGTGATAACAAAATAGTCACTTTTGTCATTCCTGAGGGTTGCAAGACACTGTGGTAGCTGCTGTATTGAATGATTTCTCTCCACTAATGTCAATACTTACTCCCTTTCTCTGAAGGCCAGATAAAATGAATATGAAGATGAAAGCAGAAGTGTTATTACTAAGCATGTTAACCTAGATGAAAATTTGTGCCATTGGTCAGATCCTGCAATGTGTCTGGAATCAGAAGAAAACTCAATTGTTTGGACAAAAATAAAACTCCCAAACTTCTGGCTTAGATGAAACTAGGACTAGGCATGGAGAATCAAAGGACTATTATTTGATATAGGAGATGTGATAAGTTTAGCTGAGAGTGACTATGATTTCTATAAAAATGAGGGGTCCTGTGGCACCTTAAAGACTAACATATCTGTTAATCTTTAAGGTGACACAAAACTCTTTGTTGTTTTTCAAGATACAAACTAGCACCGCTACCCCTCTGAGATTTAGGATTTCTATGATTTCCAGTATCTAGAGATCAGAAAGAAGAGTGAAAATAATACAGAGATTTGATATTCTTATTGACACAGCTTCCCGGACATGGGCTTGAAAAGCATCTTGCCAGGTCTCCTGGTTCCCCTTTTAGCCTGTGCAATCTCTTGACCTAGCAAAGATGAGCAAGAACAGACTGTAGGTAGGATTCAACAGAGAAGCTGTTTCTCTGTAGTTCTTCCTTTGTGGTCAGTCTTTCTCTGCCTCTTGGCTGGCTTGCTTAGATGCTTGCTTCTAGACCACCAGTGATGCACAATGGAGTGCCTCATACCGAAAAGAAAATCGGTGTCTCTCTATTTCTATATGGATTCAAGGTGTAAATAGATTGAATGGAGATTCAACTTTGGTCTGGTCTCTCATTATTTTACTAGCCAGAATTTCTCTCTCATCCAAATTAGTTTGAGGCTAGCCAGGCTCACAATAGCATGTGCTCATGAATGCCATAACAATCAATTATTATTTTAAAATTCAAAATATGACGACTGCGATTTCAGCCTGGGAAGTGAAGGATGTGAAACCTGCCTTTCTCCTCCAATAAGATCACTCCATTCTTGGGAGCAAACAAACCCAGTAGCAAATATGTAACACAGGCCACGAAAATAGTGAAGAAATTTATGGAAATGGAAGCTACTGGTTTGTGTATGGCTTTTTGCCATCAGTCACTGTGTCTAAAAGACCATCTGAAGCTGTCTGTAAATTCTTAGGAATGCAATTCTAAAACATTCTGCTTCCTGAGAAACCAACGGGGTCCTCTTTCTGCTGTCACAAGTGGAACGATGGTGCACTTAGGACCTAAGCTTAATGCCTTCTTAAAACACATGGCCTGCTTAGCAAGCATGAGGCCCTACACAGGTATGGACCCTTGCAGCTCTGAATCACAGAGAACTCACAGTGAGGAGGTCACTGGGTTTCAAGAAGCAACGCTGCATAATTAAAAGCACAAGGCGCTGGCTGCCAGTTAGATTACTGGAAGGAGAGCAAAAGGCACAATGACTTCATTACCTCTAGAGAGACACTGGGAAAGTAATGAGTTTCACTTGTGCCAACTAATGCAAGAGGAGAATTGTTTACAGCAGTGGTTTTCAACCTATTTACCACTGTGGGCCACATACAGTATTACCTGCATGGCCCTTAGGATGTCACATGGGCCACAGTTCTGTGCTGACTGGGCTAGAGGCAGCCCTCTGGTTTAGGGTATAGGTTGTCAACTCAGTGGAGCAGGAGAACCAAAACTGTTTTTGGAGGGGTGGAAAGGAAGGGGCCAAATTCAAGCAAACCTGAGTGCCGGGTCACAATGCCGTATTAACATATGGGTCAGTGTCAGCAGACCTCCCAAAGGAAGTGAGTCTCTAAGGGTATGTCTACACAGAAAAGTTATCATATATATAGTAGCCCAGTGTGTGAGAGTCTGTAACGCCGAAATGCTGGCTGTTCCCTCTGGGCAGCGCTGTTGCCTGAAATGCTGGCTGTTCCCTCTGGGCAGCGCTGTTGCCTGAAATGCTGGCTGTTCCCTCTGGGCAGCGCTGTTGCCTGAAATGCTGGCTGTTCCCTCTGGGCAGCGCTGTTGCCTGAAATGCTGGCTGTTCCCTCTGGGCAGCGCTGTTGCCTGAAATGCTGGCTGTTCCCTCTGGGCAGCGCTGTTGCCTGAAATGCTGGCTGTTCCCTCTGGGCAGCGCTGTTGCCTGAAATGCTGGCTGTTCCCTCTGGGCAGCGCTGTTGCCTGAAATGCTGGCTGTTCCCTCTGGGCAGCGCTGTTGCCTGAAATGCTGGCTGTTCCCTCTGGGCAGCGCTGTTGCCTGAAATGCTGGCTGTTCCCTCTGGGCAGCGCTGTTGCCTGAAATGCTGGCTGTTCCCTCTGGGCAGCGCTGTTGCCTGAAATGCTGGCTGTTCCCTCTGGGCAGCGCTGTTGCCTGAAATGCTGGCTGTTCCCTCTGGGCAGCGCTGTTGCCTGAAATGCTGGCTGTTCCCTCTGGGCAGCGCTGTTGCCTGAAATGCTGGCTGTTCCCTCTGGGCAGCGCTGTTGCCTGAAATGCTGGCTGGTCCCTCTGGGCGGTGCTGTTGCTGAAATGCCGGCTGTTCCCTCTGGGCAGCCCGTGCTGCATGGGGAGTGCGGGGCCCAAACAGTCGCTTGCGTCGCTTGCTCCCCTGCGGCGACCCGGCTGAGTGGCGCAGAAGTCAGCCGAGCGCCCTGGCGGGAGGCGAAGGACGTGACTCAGGCAACAGCGCCGCCCCGAGGGGGCAGGCAGGACCTTCCGTGGCGCTTGGCTGACTTCTGCGCCGCTCAGCCAGGCTGCTGCGTGGGAGCATGTGGTGCAAGCGACCGTTTGGGCTCCACACTCCCCATGTAGCACGGCTGTTTGGGCTCTGCAGTCCCCTGAGTGAGAGGCAGGAGGGGGAGGAGAAGAGAAAGAGAGAGACAGAGAGAGAGGCAGAAGGAGGAGGAGAGCTGAGAGCGAGGGGGGGAGGCAGTAGGAGGAGTGAGAGTGAGAGAGAGAGAGAGATGGAGCGAGAGACCGGAGGTTCAGGAGCGAAGACCAACATGGAGGAGAGACCTGAAAATCCCGTCTTATGACGGGCTAATTGGCTAGTTTAAAAATAACAGCCGTTATTTCGAAATAACTTTACTAGTGTCTACACAGCCAAACCACTATTTTGAAATTAATTGGAAATAGTAGAGTGCTTATTTCGAATTTGGTAAACCTCATTCCACAAGGAATAACGCCAATTTTGAAACAGCTATTTCGAAATAAGTGCTTTGTAGACACTTATATCGAAATAGGGGGCCTCCAGCCTTCCCAGGGTGCCCAGCCTCAACCAAGAACACTCCTCTCCCTCGCCCCTTCCCGGAGCCCTTAAAGGGGTTGACTCTGGCCACAGTGCCTATGCCAGCTCCAATCCTGCTAGACCAGAGCCAGCAGTCACTGCCCCTGACCCAGTGGCCCCAAAACATGAGCCATTAAGCCACTGGCAGCCAGCCCTCCACCACTCCCCAGGAGCAGTCTGCCAGCTCGCAAAAGCCTGCCAGGGCCCAGAGAAGGCGGGCGCCTTCCTGGTCCAGGGTGGAGATCATGGACCTTATTCAGGGTTTGGGGGGGATGCCCCCCAACGTCCATGATCTCCGCACTAGATGGAGGAACGTGGCTGTCTATAGCAGGATAGCTGCCAGCCTGGCCACCAAAGGCCACATGCGAACCCAGGAGCAGGTTTGCATGAAAATCAAGTTGGTCCGGCGAGACCCTCAACCCTGATCCCTGAGCTTCCCCTCCTCCTTCTTCCCCTGGCTTCCCTCTTCCAGCTCCCTCCTCCCAGGTTTCCCCCTTCCCTCTCCCACCCTCTCTTCTAGCCTCTTCCACCTCCTTTCCCCAGTTGCACCAGAGTTTCATCCCCCTCTCAGTTTTGTTAAATAAAGAGAGTTTGTGTTCATGAAAATACGTGTATTTTATTTGACATCAGGAAGGGGGGTGAGGGAGGGATAAGTGGAAGGACGTGAGGGAGGAAGGAGGCACAAGCCCCCAGTGGGGCAGACCAGAGAGGTTCTTAGTGCTCCTCAGAGTGGAAGCTCTCCCGCAGGGCCTCCTGGATACTGACAGCCCCCAGATGGACCTCCTGGATGGTAGCCTCCAGGAATAATTATTCCAGTTATAATCTGGATCTAACTCCAAAAACAACAATTATAAATAATATACATCTAATTGATTAAATTAGAATTAGCACACCTTTACCTAACAACTCAAAGAAACACCGTTT